GGGGGGGGGGTCATTGTGGATGTACATGTACATGTACCTGACCGTGGCAAAGTATGATGCATTATAGTGGATTTATAGAAAAGAAAAGGACCAAGGAACTACAAGTTAGTCTATAATGTCCACTAACACCAACAGTTACTAAACAATCAGCTCTAGCGATGACATCCCAGATGTGCTAGAGCTGTTAGCCAGTTAGTTGTAGAACGTCAGTACCGTTGGTCAGTGTCGTGCAATGTTATCGCATGGGCTGATTGTTTAGTAACTGGTGGTGTTAGGAGACATTTTAGCGTAACTTGTAGTTCATTGGTCCTTTTTTTTCTTCTATAAATCAGTCCTTGGCTCTCCATCCGAGTCCATTCATTATAGTGGATGTTAAAAGTTCTCTCTGGGCATAAGAACAAGAAGTGCAAGCTGCAGTGAGGAATGAAGTGATCACAATAGCGATACAGGTTGTGTAGTACGCGACCGAATGACAAGGCAAAACTGGCTCGGCCTCTCCGACTCAAAACTCAAGTAGTATTCTCAGGGAATAATATTGCACTTAGTGATTGCACAGGAAGACTCAAGTAACTGTTTATTTCAAGACGACTGCAGAAATGCAACTAGACAAGACTAACTCAAGACGAAGACTACTTTTTACACCACAGCAACACCAACATGACGTACACACAGCGTACACAAAATAATGTACTATATACGGTATAGTAAGTCTATCGATATACGGTACATACGGTATGATACGGTAGAAAGTCCGTCTACTACAGGTTGTACTTGGATTTGATCAGGGATGTAATGCTTTTGCTGTTTCCGCTGCTGCTGGTGCTGCTGCTGCTGTTGTTGGTGGTGGTGGTGCTGGGTGTGATGGTTGTGCTCTTGCTGCTGGTGGTGGTGTTTGTTTGTGTTGGTGGTACTTCTGCTATACATGAATTTATTCCATCAAAGGTGCAATGGCTGAGTATATGAAGTTCCCTACTGGAGCAATTAACTTCAAGGTAATCAGCCGCAATCAGTACAGACTTTTAGTTGGGTCAGCTTGAATTGTTGCATGATTGGAGTTAATAATTTTGTTTGTCTAGAGCAATGATTCTATGGTGGAGACCTTTCAGCCTTTATTGTTGCTCAGAAGCACATACTGTGTTTGCATCTCTTCCAACATCTACCCAGGTGCCCAAGACTATACCGGCCTGGAAGGCGGCGTTTATTGAGCCGCTTGCATGCTCCATACATGGCGTGGAGAGGGGCGATATCCAGTTCGATCATGTAAGTGTTCAGCGGTGCACGGTTAGTTAAAGCTGCGGAGTCCCACTGAGCCAGTCTCCGCGGAGTCCCACTGAGCCAGTCTCCGCGGAGTCCCACTGAGCCAGTCTCCGTGGAGTCCCACTGAGCCAGTCTCCGCGGAGTCCCACTGAGCCAGTCTCCATGTATCCATCACCGCAATCGGCAATACAGTGAAACAGCTGTCTAAGACGACCACCGCTCAAAGGACCATCAAAACGTGGTCTCTGTTACCAGGTGGTCTGCTTATCCGGGGTAATTTGACTGGAAGTGGCATCCCTTGGTCCTGGTTGCAGTGGTCTTCTGGGACAGGTGGTCACCTTATCCGAGTGGTCGCCATAACATGTTCTACTGTATGTGGATAGGTAAACAGGCATCTAGTTGTAAATATGGTTAGTGTGCATGAAGATAGTGGCTGGCAGCAGGAGTATGAGTGGGAGGGGGGGGGGGGGGGGGGGGGCATGTTTTGGGGCTCTCTGAGCAACTTGATCAGCATAGCCTGATATGCATCACTGTATATGTACAATCTCCCCTGCTCACTTGCGTATCACCTACAGGTGGTGGTTGTGTCAGGATGTGGCCCACTCGGCCTTGGTATGGTGGCAGCTGCTCGACAGAAGAACCCGGCAAAGCTGATTGCTCTCGACATGTTTGATTGGAAGGTAAAAGTGGCAACCGTGACTGGGCCATGTGTGCATCACGGTATGCGCCTTCTTCCACTTTTGATGATGCGTAAAGTCTCACATATCACTGGATATGAACATACAACTTCACAGCAGCAGATAGCCAACCCACACAACAGCAGCACCACTTGATACTGACGAACACTGATATGAGTATACTAACGTTTCGACAAATCTATTTTTTCTTCAGAATAATCCAACCTCTGCCAATACCGATATGAACATACTGTCGGGAGAGATTTTCAACTCTTTCATGTTCTTCAATGAGAGCACTGCTTACTATGATGTGATCAAGGAGAAAGAGAGAGAGAGAGGAGAGAGAGAGAGAGAGAGAGAGAGAGAGAGAGAGAGAGAGAGAGAGAGAAGAGAGAGAGAGAGAGAGAGAGAGAGAGAGAGAGAGAGAGAGAGAGAGAGAGAGAGAGAGAGAGAGAGAGAGAGAGGAGAGAGAGAGAGAGAGAGAGAGAGAGAGAGAGAGAGAGAGAGAGAGAGAGAGAGGGAGGAGGGAGAGAGAGAGAGAGAGAGAGAGAGAGAGAGAGAGAGAGAGAGAGAGAGAGGGAGAGAGAGAGAGAAAGAAAGAGAGAGAGAGAGAACGAGAGAGAGAGAGAGAGAGAGAGTGAGAGTGGCCGTTGGGCAACTTGGTGACTTGCAACTGAAGTGCCTGCCGTGTATTCATTAGCACCAGTAGCAGTTGCAAGACAAATGAGTAAAAACTGACTATTTATGTTGGTGGTGTTTGCCGCTACAGTTACAACCCTGGCATGTGAATCATCCAGCAACACACTTTTACCAGTGCGGGTCTTAGATGATTAGGACTGACTATGCAAACACATGTAGCATCAGTCACTGAAACAGTGCTCGGTGCGGTGCATGGTTGCAGAGCCTTCTCACAGATGCAAGACATAGCCACTGTAACTATCACCTTTTTTTGCAGTTTCCAGTACTTCTCCTCCTTGATGATTCCTAATCACCATCCTCCTCCTCCTTCTCCTCCTCCTCCTCCTCCTCCTCCTCCTCCTCCTCCTCCTCCTCCTCCTCCTCCTCCTCCTCCTCCTCCTCCTCCTCCCTCTCCTTCGCCCACTGCCACAATTGGCTATTTGTCCCTGATCAGCATCGACTATGCTGCCTTTTGATTGGTTCTGTGGCCATGAAACTCGGAGCAACAACAGAACAAGGTTTCCCCGCCAGCACTGTGAACGTGTGTGGCCACATAGAATATATTATGTAGTTGCCAGCCCTGGTCCTAGAACCCTATCCTATGGGATCCTGCATAGCATGTCTGGATTCCACTCTGCATGGACGTTTTGGATCTTTTTTCTCTGTTATGCATGTAGCTGGACATTGCCAAAAAGTGCGGTGCTGATCTGACGTTCAATCCTGGGAAGTGCAACGCTGTAGAAGAGGTTCAGAAGCTCACGGATGGTTATGGCTGCGACGTGTATATTGAAGTCAGCGGAAATCCGGCGTCCGTCAAACAAGGGTATGGAATTCAATATGCCATGCGGTTGACACGGTTGTGTTGGGCATATTCCTAACTGTGTTTGCTCTAAGTAAACACGAGTAGTATGGTGTTGTGTTCTGGTTGATGTGGACTGCAAAGCATATCGATCCCCTTCCATATGCTTCAGGTTAAGAGCAGTTGATGAGTAGGTGACCATGTGTCATCTCGCACGAATCTCTATGAGCTCATTCCAAGTGATTCGTTGCCTGGGTAACACCAGGTAGTGATGAAACGATATCAGTATCTTAGACTTAGTACTCCCTGCTGTACATGTAGTAATGAGTGCCTTATGTTTCTGTTTCCCCTCTCTTGTATAGACTTCTAATGATCTCTAAGCTGGGGACCTTTGTCGAGTTCAGCGTCTTTGGTCGAGAGACAACAGTTGACTGGACCATCATAGGTGACACAAAAGGTAAGTTCCTACTTCTTACAACGTTTGGAGTTCTGGCATATCTCAGAAGAGTTACGGACTTTTGTGTAGTGCATGGTCAATTTTTAATGTGAGCGAATGCATGTACATGTACTCGAAATTAACTGACCCTGCTAAGTGTGTGTTCTTCGGTGCTTTTTGATTCTCATTATTTACACAGAGTTGAACATACGTGGCGGACACTGCGGTAAGAACACCGTGTACTAGTGTAGACTAGTGTGTATTGGTGCAGCTGATTGTTGAAGGGTTGTATTTCAGCGAGATCACGTTGACTAGTGTTCCTAGAGACCTTTCACGGCGACCACAGAATCACACATGTCAGAGCAACCCGGCATGCTGGTTCCACCTCCAGTCGATCACTGCATCAATGGGTCACATGACATGATGGGCCATGTTGGCTCCACTGTTCCACATGTCATATTGCTCTGCTGTCCTCATAATTATCATGTACAGGTCACATGACCGAAATGTGAAGTGAATTTCTGCATCTCAGTCAATCCCTTCATTTGCCCATTTGTGGCAGTTGTCTGGTGAAACTGCAAATCTTATTCACTTGTACACGCACGGCTTCAGCTCTTCATATTCCAACTCAGTCATGGCTGTGAGTTAGTAAACATAGGTTTGTGCCGCTTTGGGACCAGGTAAGACCTGCTTCACGTAGTAGATTTGCAACACCACCTATTAAGTCTTACCATTAGTGGTTAATGTGTTGTCGCTTGTCCAGGACCCAATTGCTACCCGAAAGCAATTAACATGATTGCCAAGGACCAGCTCCCAATGGAGGTAAGACTGTTCATGGCAGCACATGCCTGCAATGTGGATGAGGTCTCTTGAGCCACTGGCAGATCTTGCTTGCGTAACGATTTGGCTGAAATATACATCACTTCTTGTACATGGGAATTTGCTTCTAGAGAGCCATGTATACCTTTGGTCTGCATGCACGGTGATCAACAGAGTGTCTGCGTTTAGCGTGTCAGTGTTGGGGTGTACTGTTAATCCTGAAATGTTCGTAAATGTAGTATCTGGCCTAGGACTGGAGATCAGCTGTGTACGGACGTGCCTGGAAGCCTGGTGTAGTGTTAGAACACAGGCCATGGAGCATGTCTGTGCCTAAGGCCTGGGACCTACCGGCAGAGCCGGGGTCTATGCAAGCGTTCAGTAAACATTCAAACGCATCGGCACACCTTTTTCTTTTACTTGATGCCTGATTTAGGACATCATCACACATCAGTTCCCATTGGAAGATGTTGTCAAAGGCATTGACCTGGTCAACAAGGGAACGGAGTCGATCAAGGTGGTTCTCTTGCCATGATGTATAGCGGGTGGTTTACCGACCATTCACCGAATGACAATTCACCGAAAGACACTTCACCTAAAGACACTTCACCGAAAGACAAATCATCGAATGGACAATCCACCGACTGGACAATTCACCGAAAGACACTTCACAGAAAGACATTTCACCGAATGGCTATATCACCGACAAGACAGCTCACCGAAATTCTACTGTGTGTAATGACTGGTTCGTAGTCAGGCTAACTTCACCGGCGCTGAGTTTCACAGGGCTGAAATGCTGGCACTGACGTACTGCCACTACTGGCGCTGGTTGCATGTTATGTGGCAAATGTAGTACATGTACAGTCAGTCGTCGCATAACCACTGAGTGCATGTGTCGGGTTTGCGTGCAAAAATTACTACATTTCCACGGTTAAGTTGTGACCAAAATGACCAAACTGGCAAGCACAAAAATTACAAAGATGGAAGAATAGCTCTGAAAAGCAGCGAGGTTTTACTGAATCAATCCCCTATTCCAATCATCACCACTGGTAAGAGTAAAACACTGTGTTAGCTGGTTGAAACATCAACAGTAAGGGTTCATTTTAGTACGTTTTGGGTGAAAAATATGAGACAATCAAAACCGTCACGAATGATTAGCTAGATCCATCGCTTTTTGGTATAATCGTTTCAACCCTAGTAAACATTACACAAACGTGTAAACATTACATGGTCAATGAAATCCGATAAAAGCTCCGTGGTAGCGGGGTCTGACTGTATCTCAACCAGCCTTCTATTGTCAAAAATTCAAAATTCTTCAACGTTGTGGAGTGATTACAACATTTTCGCTGCTTGTCTATTGTTCTTCATTGATCTGCTCACCTCTGTAGACAAATGGAGACCTCCTCAATAGGCTTAGTGGCCTCTGGGGAATCCTTGAAATATATTTAAAAATCCAAAATTCTCTCCGTCCTTCTTTGTTTCTTCTTTCTTTCGGTGAAATGTCTGTTCGGCGAATTGGCCGCTCGGTGAACTGTCATTCTGTGAGTTGTGCATTCGGTGAAATGGGCATTCTGTGAACTGGGTATTCGGTGAGCTGTCGTTCGGTGAGCTGTCGCTCGGTGAACTGTCGCTCGGTGAACTGTCGGGATACCGGTATGGTGCGTATTGAGCACAGTGAACGATCTCCAAATTGACAATGTGTATATTTTCTTCATGTCAAATACCACACCGCACAGCAGTGCATGCAGATCTGGAACGTATTGATCAGATGGTAGCTGTTGCAGGGCTCTGACAGCTTCTCTCTTGATTTACAAAAGTGTTGACATTGCACTACATGGTTTTCGGACTTTTGCTGACTTTTCACAATTGAACCCAAGAATGAAGCTAACAAAATTCACCGTTGAATTTGGCACCATACTTTATAACTGTACACTATCAGGCAGCCCAATGCATAGAATAATTTACATATGTATAGGGTTCTCTGAGGTTTAGCAGGAGTTCCAGGTGTAGCCATATTCTTCTTGCTTAGCGGACAGTATCATCCAAAGCAGCGTGCAGTTTTGCTGGTTTGTTCCTCAGTTGTTCTCAGGATGGAACGTGTGCTTTTCAGATATTCTAGCCGTTCAGTATTTTTCGCTTTCACCAACCGATCGAATAGGTGGAAAGAACTGCCTGAGGGATCAGTACCAGGATAAGAGTCACCCGAAGTTGCTGCTGGTTTGGTTGATACGGCCTGTCGGAGAGCGACGACAGACTATGTGAATATGAAATTCCATACTTTTTCGAATCCTAAAGTAAAATTATTGTACTAAGTTTCCGGAGAGTGTTGTTTCATCCTTTATGGACTAATCTGAGTGCAGTGAGACTGGACGCGGTAACCGTGGTAACACTGGTCATGATGTGCCTGTATTCTCAAAGCAGGATAGTTACACTGCAGGCCGGAGCATGCATGCTTTGTGATACCAGAGCGCTGGATGCAAGTCCTTCTTGCACCTGTACACTGTATTGACTGCCACCATTCTAACAATACACTGCAAGGAATTGTGACCATGATGACAGGACAAGCGACTTGTATATCCTGTCAAAGCGACCACCCTGATAAGGCGACCACCTGTCCTAGGGGACCAGTAGGACTCTGATCAATGGGAGTCAAGGTACCCTGAATAAGGAGACCACCACCTGTGCATGGAGACCACAAGGGACCTGACAGATGTGGCCTCCGTGTACAGGCGGTCTTCTTATTCAGGGTCACTTGACTGAAAAACACATCCCTTGGTCCACGTTATAACCCAATTACGGATTTAGATACAAACCGCACATAAAATGTATCCTTTCTTGGCCATTATTCGAAAAGAGATGAAATGGATTTGTCGGGTTTGCATTCCAGCTATTCATATCATGTGTTACAGAGAATCTATGAACATGAGTGGGATGGGAATATACTGACTCATATTATGGCTTTGATGTAATGCATTACAGTGATCATAATAGCTATCCATATATTGCTGCAGGATGAATTCAAGAAGCTGCATTGAAAGAGCTTTGAACGTGGATGGACTTACGGGGTTTCATGTCAATTGAGAATGTTGTCGCATGTGATAAGAATACAATGCCATTGTGGATACAAGTAGTTTTCTCAATACAGGCCAGGTTGCTAATAATGTACAGAGTCTTCAAGGGTGTCAAATGATGACCTCATCATGACCTTTTATGATGTCATTCAGTTCCGTTTGCTGACATCATAAAGCAACTCAATTCTCGGGGGTGATCGGTTCACCAACAGCAATGCGTATGCGGTAGGCTCCTGCTTAGGAGCAGTAGGTTTTTGGGTTGGTTCTGTCCTTGCCGTCAGTGTAACCAGTGCATGTTGCTGGGTCGGTATGCATGACAAAGCCATACTGCTCGGCAAAGTCATCTGTGCACCAAGACGGAAACATGCAGCAGACAAAACACACACAACCGTTAGGACATGACACACACGATTTCTGTCAGAGCACACAATTCCAGCAATTCAAGCCCACACAGATCTGACCACATGCAAATCGAAACACACACTCTGTTAAAACCGTTTATGTCGCAACGAATCGGTGCCCATTGGTTGTAGCTTGGTTGCGTTTCTTTCGAGAATTGAATTCTTGTCTCCAACTTTAATACTCTGTACAACAAAACAATTTAGGATGAATACCAGTAGAGCCAGTATCGGTAGTAGCCCATCACAGATCTACTCTCACCATACACTTCACACAAGAATGAGTGGACCAACACACAGGACTTTCATGTTGACTTGCTTGGCTAACATGATCCCTATGCGTACATGCCCTAGGCCAGGCCTACTTCGAAGTACTAGTACTTAAGTACTGGTAGTAGGCATGCATACGGTGATATAAAGCCTCTTTTACAGGCATGCATACTGTTGTGTTGTCTGTTGTCAGTTGTGAGTTGTGAGGAGTTGTGAGAGTTACCTTTGACCAAGTCATACAATGTGCAGTAGTTACCTTTGACCAAGTCATACAGTGTGCAGTAGTTACCTTTGACCAAGTCATACAGTGTGCAGTAGTTACCTTTGATCAAGTCATGTGACAGTGTGCAGTAGTTACCTTTGACCAAGTCATACAGTGTGCAGTAGTTACCTTTGACCAAGTCATACAGTGTGCAGTAGTTACCTTTGACCAAGTCATACAGTGTGCAGTAGTTACCTTTGACCAAGTCATGTGACAGTGTGCAGTAGTTACCTTTGACCAAATCATGTGACAGTGTGCAGTAGTTACCTTTGACCAAGTCATGTGACAGTGTGCAGTAGTTACCTTTGACCAAGTCATGTGACAGTGTGCAGTAGTTACCTTTGACCAAGTCATGTGACAGTGTGCAGTAGTTACCTTTGACCAAGTCATGTGACAGTGTGCAGTAGTTACCTTTGACCAAGTCATGTGACAGTGTGCAGTAGTTACCTTTGACCAAGTCATGTGACAGTGTGCAGTAGTTACCTTTGATCAAGTCATGTGACAGTGTGCAGTAGTTACCTTTGATCAAGTCATGTGACAGTGTGCAGTAGTTACCTTTGACCAAGTCATGTGACAGTGTGCAGTAGTTACCTTTGATCAAGTCATGTGACAGTGTGCAGTAGTTACCTTTGATCAAGTCATACAGTGTGCAGTAGTTACCACCATGATCACTGTGAGTGTAGAAACGTCTTGCTGCGGAGTAGCCCTGAATGGAGCAGAGAGCAAAACACACACACACACACACACACACACACACACACACACACACACACACACACACACACACACACCTTGGTTATTCCAAAGTTACGGGCACTTCGGTCTACCGGGCACCCTTTGGGCGAATTTCAATGGAAATATTACTGCATGTACTCTTTTGTCACTTTTTGTGGAAGTATTGATGCCGTCTGCCATATCTATTGCCTCAGTTTCCCATCAAAATGCATGTGATTCAGAGTTACGGACATTCCAAAGTAACGGCCAGTGCCCGGTCACGGACCGCCTGGATAAACGACGTGCGAGTTTTCCCCACAAAGAGCGACCGATGTGTCATGCCAACTTCTCGGTATGATCCTACAGACACCAGTGTAACACCAGTGTAACACCAGTGTAACACCAGTGTTGCTCACTCAAGCAATGGGGATGTATGGAAACATCATTATCATTATACAGTAAAATCTGTAACTAAAGACCACCGTGACTAGCGAGCAGCCTGGTACTACAGACCATGTCGCCAGGCACGGACGGTCTCACATTATACAAGCAAACAATTTCCAGCAATTTTTTTTATAAATTTGACCTACCTGGTATATGTCTATTTTTGCTGATCGCGGCTCATATGGTTGTGCGGTGCAAACCTCTAACTAAGGACCACCTGCCACTAAAGACCACTTTCTCTGACCCCAAGCCAAGGGGTGGTCTTTAGTTACAAGTTTTACTGTGATAATTATTGCCTCGTCCAATGCCAGATATTCAGGACTTCAAGGGTTGCATTACTTTTTTATTATTATTTTTTACTAAGTACACAACCTACTCGTCAGAAGGGGAGAAGACAACAGAGTATACAATAACAACGTACGTATGAGTTTCAATGCAGCGTTGTACATGTACAACATTCACACAGGTAGCAGAGGCATTGGACGGACACGCTTCTTGCCGAACTTGACAAGTTGACTGACTCACGACTGCCATCCGGAGCACACGAGGAGCACGTCGCACCTTCCACTCGGCAAACCTGCAAGAAAGCACCACTCCCTGCTCAATACACAGTGTTTCGGGGAATTCACCCCTCATCAGTTGAGCTTGAGTAGGCTGAGGAAGATTGTGCCTGAAAAGCACCACTTATATACTGCTCTCCAGGCCAAACCATCACCAGGGATACAAACTTACAGAGACGCTTTGTTTCCAGCGTGACAAACACCTCGTGGAGCTCCAGGTAGCAGCGTGAGTCAGAGTCGCTCATGGAGTTGTGCTAAATAGACGTTGAGAGCCAGTACTCACGCTGCTACCTGGAACTTCACGAGGTGTTTGTCGCGCTGGAAACAGCGTCTCTGTAAGTTTGTATCCCTGGTGATGGTTTGGCCTGGAGAGCAGTATATAAGTGGTGCCTTTCAGGCACAATCTTCCTCAGCCTACTCAAGCTCAACTGATGAGGGGTGAATTCCCCGAAGCACTGTGTATTGAGCAGGGAATGGTGCTTTCTTGCAGGTTTGCCGAGTGGAAGGTGCGACGTGCTCCTCGTGTGCTCCGGATGGCAGTCGTGAGTCAGTCAAGTGTCAAGTTCGGCAAGAAGCGTGTGTTCCTAGTTGGACCAATCAACTTCAAAACTAGATACAATGTAAGAATTCATTTGCCAAGCAAATGAATACAACAGTATCCCTACCCCATGTTCATGCTACAAGCTGCCTGTAGACGATTCTTACTGTGCAGAATATGCACAATGTACATGTATAGGTACAGGTCATGTATAGTGTACTAGTGCTTACTGTGCTTACTGTGCGGATTATGCGATGCACAATGTACATGTACCAGTACAGGTCATGAGTAGTCTACTTACCGCGCAGACTATGCTATGTACATGCATGTACCAGTACAGGTCATGATTGTATAGTCTACTCATCATGAAGACTATGCTATATGCAATGATTATGTACATGACTGTACCGCTACAGGTCATGTATAGCGTTAGTGTACTTACCGTGCACACTATGCTATGCACTATGCACTATGCTATGTACATGATGTACCAGTGCAGATCATGTATAGTAGTGTACTTACCATGCAGACTATGCTATGTACAATGTACATGTACCGGTACATATTATGACTGTATAGTCTACCATGGTCTACTCACCGTGCCTGTGCATCTGTACTTAGGTGTTTGGAAGGGTGAATAGAGCTTGACTGTGATGTCCTCTACGTAGTTTGTCAGTGCCGAGGCAAACTGTGCGGTGATCATTATTCCATCGCTCATGCTCTCCTCTATACTGATGTCCTGGGCAAGTTAGGGCAGAATGCGGACAGCAAAACGGGATTGTATTGTTAGTGCATGCATGGGCTTCATAGGTATCGACAGTACATGCAGTGGGTTGATAGGTATCCATAGCACATGCAGTGGGTTGATAGTAGGGCTCAAACGGTCACGGTTTTACCCCTAACGGTTTACTGCTAAGCTAACGGTCGGTTAACGGTTATAACCTATAAGCCACGGCAATCCTGCGGACTCTTTTTTAACCGTATATTTGACTTTACTCATTCAAAAAATGTACCCTATTCAGTACAACGCACACATGTACATTCTCTTGCATGCTCATTCATACATACTCTCACACCAAGAGACCAGATATGACCGAGTTGACAGCCCAGAAATTGCTTACGCGTGCGACAGCCTGTGAAAGTGCATACTTTGCAACGACCTGATACTTGAAAAATTGGCTGAAAAGTTACTGCGTAACCGTTATCTTTATCGGGTAACCGTCAATTCTTCGTAACCGGTCTGCACCCGGTTAATCGGGCTAACCGTTTGAGCCCTAGTTGATAGGTATCCGTAGTGTACGCAGTGGATTGATAGGTATCCATAATGTATGCAGTGGGTTGATAGGTATCCGTAGTGTACGCAGTGGGTTGATAGGTATCCATAATACATGCACTGGGTTGATACTTGATAGGTATCGGCAGTACATGCTAGCCAGATGGAGACTTGCAGTCATGATGTATGGACAGCCTCTCATTCTCTCCCAGTGAATAAAACAGCATTTATCTCACTTTCTTGTTGGATGCACCAAGCCCCCCCCCCCCCCCCCCCGACTCCCATCCATTATGACAAAAAAGGTCATGGCACGACTTTGGATACTGGTTTTGTTATAAATTGAGTACGTACCGAGAATGTACACACTGCTGCGGGATTGGTGGTGCAGTGCTGCATGGCAGTCATGCGCTCCACTAGCTTTTCGCTAACCGCATCACAGCCTGTTCCGAAAGACCTGCAGCAATTGGCGCCGGAAAGACAATTGTAAACAATGTGGTAACTTTGAAGATTCCTGAGCTCTACTAAATCAGGGATTTGGATGACACACCATACAGTAACCTGGCCAGTCATCAGTTCGACCGTACTGGTGGTCTGGAGACTCATGCCTTTCAACTGCCAGTATGTGCTGTGAACTAGACACTTGGCTGTGCTTGCATGTAGCATTGGCTGTCCAGGAAAGAAGTTTGCTTTAGATCCTACTTTGCCATTGGCAATAGTCTGGATTCAGTCTGACTTTTAAGGTAGCACATAATCTTTGCTATGGTCTTGATTTTGAGGATTTCGCCTCACCTTTGCTCAGTGCCAAGAAAACTCGAACAGTAATCCTTATAAAAAAGTGAGAAATGTTTGAGTTACCACAGACCACTATCGAATTCTACGACCAGGGAATGTATTTTGTATGTCCAGTGTATGATAAAGGTGGGTTTATCCTTGGATCTACAAGTCACTGACATGTGACATTGCATTGGCCCCGGTGATTGGGCTGCATTCAGCAACTAATTACTTACCAGGTCACTTTGCAGGAAGCTTGGAATGGATGTGACTCCGGGGTGGTGTACTTGGCTGGGTCCTCCCTACTAGCCAAGGTCCCACCGAGAACTGTAGTTACCACGAGTGCCGTGGAGACTAGATCAAAGATGGCCATCGAGTGACGAGAGTTCTCTGTCCGGCAAAACTTAGACTTATCTCAAATAGATAGGCGCGGTTGGGACCTCTTCCTGGTCTACGTCTTTGGTTGATGAGTGACTCTACGTGGATGCCAACTGATCACATCTTCTGTTGTAGAAAATCCGCAAAGTACATCAGCGGATCGGCAAGCAGCTACTTCGAAGTTCAATTTACAAACCAAGCTTGTTTATTGAAACTGACAGCAACACGATGAATTGCTGTTGCCTTTGCTTGGTTGCCTAGGCGAAGTGTCCCGAGTTGGGCCATGACCATGGAGTTACATGTATCCTGGCTGCCGCACTAAGTTCAGTAGTGAGATCGAAAGCGCCCTTGCGACTCCTCCGATCCGGTGATCGACCTGCCTACAACATACAATGTAAGTCACACGCGACAGGCTTTGTTTGCTATGTACAGAATAGGACTACAATAGTTTTACGTGTACTGTAAGATCAAGATGCAATACTGGTGGATCTACCTTCTTTGACGTCCTTCATGCATGCATGACACGGGTCAACCCCGTGAACATGGTAAACCATTGCCGATCAACATGGCCATACCGGTACTCCATAGAAAGGCGTGCATCGCAGAGACTAGCCTTGACCACCACAGTCCACACACCCCCACGCACCATGTGGACCTTCCCTGACGTCCCTTCGCTCTATCACCGTGAATGGCGCGGACTGCCATACCACGCGTATTGCGGTGGTGAAGATGACGGTGTCGATGTAGCTGTACCTAGCTTGCAATCATGAGTAAAATCTAAAGTTCGAAATGTGAGAGGAACATACCTCCAAGTACAAGTGGAAATCAGGCGGATAGGCGTGTTTGAAGTAGACTTCCCGACTTCTACAGCGCTCCGGCGCTAGGCCATCAGTAACCATGGCCAGTGGCGGACGAGCGGAAACCAAGCCACCGATGGTGAGACGACAAAGCAGCGGACATTGCGCCAAGGAGCTCTGGGTTCCCGACAGCGAAGCGGGCGTTTGCTCGTCATGCCAGCAGAAGTTTAGCCTGAGCAAGCGGCGGCACCACTGCCGATGGTGTGGCAATGTGTTTCACGGCGAGCCATGCGCTGTTCGGGAAGATGGCTCTGGCGCTTGGATGTGCAAGAAATGTCTGGACTATACGTCACATCAGGACGCTCTTCGCCAAGGTTAGTTTACTGCTTAGTGAGAGAAAGAGAGAGAGAGAGAGAGAGAGAGAGAGAGAGTGAGAGAGAGAGAGTGAGAGAGAGAGAGTGAGAGAGAGAGAGAAAGAGAGAAGAGAGAAAGAGAGAGAGAGAAAGAGAGAAGAGAGAAAGAGAGAGAGAACATCGTAGATCTACTACTTTAGGTAACTTGTACAAATGGGCCAATAAAACGTCTGTGGTATCCCGCTGTACGCTCGTTCCCACTATTCTAGTCTATGGCATGGTCAGTAAAGTCTTGCACTTGCCTTGCGTATGAACTGCATTGAGATATGAGTTGGGTCAGGTCAGAGGGTGCATGCAGTCTTCGCTAAATCAGGCTTTCATTTGTTTGGGTGGCATACCAAGATTTTCATTTTCAGCCCATTCATAGTGCCTTGTGACGAGGTGAGCATGGAAGGTGAACTGACATTACTTGTACATGTAGTTGACTTCTGACCACAGAGTTGAATGGTTTTAATATTGGGAGGGTCCAGGTTGATTGTCAGCCAGCCAATCCCAATTCGGATTTTTTGAATCGTCGAAGTCACGACCACTACGTCATAGACTAGTGATACTAGTATCGGGTATTTCCACCGTGGCTAAAGCTGACCCACAGGGTGCCTGGTAGAGCGAGGTCTCCGTACCTTTTGAAGTCTGGCTAGTAAGAGAGATATAATTATGTGTAATATGAAAATATATGAGTTTGAATGCGAAATGGCACTTAATAGCCCAATCAATAGGGCAACAATGGTTCATAGCCTCTTTGAACTAAGATCATTCAACTAACGGTGTAACTACTGAAATTTTCATTCCTGTCATACTCTCAGGCCTGTAACCTTCATGCCACTGACCAATGTTGAACAGTCACTTATATACTGCATGCCAACATAATATTTACTTCAAGTATGTTCCTATCACAGGCTGCTCCCATAACTATGCAACTCATACTAACGAGTACCAGCTTACTTCAAACCACACGAGTAAGGAGGGGATTGCACTGCCTAGAATCTGCCCAATGCCATCAAGGAGCTAAGTTGTCTCATGTCACGTTAGCAGAGAACGAATGGAATTTGTTTTAGACCTCCATGTCTCGTGCTTATAATCAACACGGTGTATGGTTTGTTCAGGAGCTCACTTCATGATGTTGTCACCTGATGGCAACTGGAGAGGAGTCCGCGTGTGGGTGACGGCTGGGGGCGTTAAGACACAGATCAACTGGGAGTCAATGAAGTCAAAGTCAAAGCCATCGGGTACGTACCAACCCATCTATCAAAGTCATGCATGTGCGTGCATCGTGTGTGTGTGTATGGTGTGTGTGTGTGTGTGTGTGTGTGTGTGTGTGTGTGTGTGTGTGTGTGTGTGTGTGTGTGTGTGTGTGTGTGTGTGTGTGTGTGTGTGTGACCCAACTGCATCAGAGGATGATGATTTAGTAAGGCAAGCAACTGTGGCGGAGTGGTACCATACCTCATCCGACTTTCTGCAAGACGCTGCACCAGGGACCTCAGTTCAGGACCAATGGATTTCACTACGGGACGCCACAGTTAAAGCAGCTACCTCTGTCCTAGGCAAGAGTCGCCGTCGTCAGCCAGATTGGTTCTCAGCCAGTTCTGCCACTCTCGAGCCTCTCCTTGCACATCGTAACACTCTATTCCAGAAATCTTTAGCAGATCCATCACCTCTGGTCCGGCGAGAGTTTGTCCGCGCGCGCGCTCAGCTGCAAGGGATGCTGTACGCAGTGCTAAGGAGGACTGGTTCCGTAAGACTGCGTCTGATGCCGAATCTAGGACGTTTGGGTGTAAGGCTGTGTGGAACAGCATCCGGGATCTACAGACTGCCCGGCGTGGATTGATTCCCACTAAGTCGTGCCTGATCAAACAGACTGATGGCTCACCATGCTCGTCCGTTGAGGCACAGCAGAACCGCTGGTCTGAACATTTCGAAAAGCTGCTGAACCTTCCAAGCGGCTTTGTCCGATCTGAAATTGACTTGGTCCAGCAGCGCAACATCATGGAACACCTGGCCACCTCACCCACTGCTGAAGAGGCCCAGCGCTGCCTTCGCTATCTTACGAACGGGAAAGCTGCTGGAAGCTCCGGCATTCTACCGGAAATGGTCAAATACAACTGCGACCTATTCTTTGCCAATCTGTTTAAGCTCATTACCGCGGTTTGGGAGGAGGGCGTAGTACCGCAAGATTGGGTGAATGCAGAGATGATACCGATACCCAAGAAGGGTGACCTCACTAGCTGCGACAACTGGCGTGGCATCGCACTCCTCGACGTCATTGGCAAGCTGTTCGGACGCCTGCTGCAAAACCGATTGCAGAAAGTCGCCGAAAGTGTGCTGCCTGAATCACAGTGTGGTTTCCGGAAAGGTCGCTCCTGCACGGACATGACGTTTGTTGTTCGCCAGGTTGTAGAGAAGTGTCACGAGCACCAATCCAAGGGATTCCTGGTGTTTGTCGATTTGAGGAAGGCATACGATTCTGTTCCGCGTGCTGCACTGTGGATTGTCCTGCTGAAGCTGGGTGTCCCAGAGCAACTGGTCAGCCTTCTGAAGTCTTTTCACGACAACATGACAGCCACGATCATCGTTAATGGTTCCCCCACTGAAGGCTTCCCAGTGTGCAACGGATTGCGCCAAGGGTGTACAATGGCACCAGTCCTTTTCAACTTGTTTGCTGGTGCAGTGATGGAACGTTGGTGCGCACGCGTCCAAGAGCGTGGAGTGTCTGGTTTTCCACTCCGTACCTGTGCCGATGGTCAGCTTTTCAAGAGATCTAAGCGTGGTAATGATATGGTCATCACAGATGGTGAGTTTGCTGATGATGCAGCCTTGTTTGCACCCAGCCACTCGGATGCTCAGCGTATGCTTGAGATATTTGCGGAGGTCAGTGGAGCATTCGGGTTGTCTCTCAACATGGCAAAGACAGTGTTCATGGCTGTTGGGCATCAGATCAACGACAGTGACCGTACCCCGCTAAGCGTACAAGGCAACGCCATCCAGCATGTCAGCCAGTTTACATATCTCGGCTCAGTGGTAACACCAGACGGACGATGCCACACCGATGTGTCCAACCGCATAGCTGCTGCATCTAAGGCCTTTGGCAGCCTCTACCCGTCAGTTTTTCGGAACACTTCACTAACATCCAAGACAAAACAACACACGTACACATGCTGTGTGTTGTCGGTGCTGTTGTACGGGGCTGAGAACTGGACACTGTTGCGTGCCGACATACGTCGCCTTGAACAATTCCACAACCGCTGCGTTCGTGTCATTCTCGGCATCTCGCGTTCCAAACAGTGGGAGGACCACCTGTCATCTGCCTCGCTGCATAGAATGTGCGCTACAGAGCCAGTTGCTGACATGGTTGCCCGTCGACGGCTGCAGTGGCTTGGCCACATTGCCAGGATGGACGACCACCGGCTTCCAAAGGCAGTGTTGTTCTCGTGGCTCCATACTCCACGCCCTGCTCATGGCCCCAGGCGTCGATGGCGTGATGTGGTACGCGATGACCTCAAGGCGTTCGGTCTATACACCGGTTGGTACGACCTCGCAGCTGAACGTGGCGAGTGGATCCAGTCCATCTCGGATGCTATTGTTGCACGGCGTTTACGCCTTGAAACGACAGCCAAGTCAGTGTGTTGTGCGATCTGTGAGCGACTCTTCGCCAGTGAAAGTGGACTTCGGCGGCACAAATGCAGGGAAGAGCGACTGAAGCCGATCCATGAACAGGCCGGTGCTGTGTTGTGCGAAACGTGCCATCGTTGGTTTGCTAGCCGAGGTGGATTTGCTGTGCACAGCTGCTCTCCCAGTCTTGGTGACGCTCCAGTTCCAGAGATTGTTGCACCTCGCCCACCTGATTGCAGCCAATGTCATTATCACTGCCACACCTGTGACCGCTGTTTCCGGAGCAAAGCTGGGCACCACCGGCACAACTGCAACCGCAGAACATGCAGCTCTGGCTCCGAGCGCCGCACCATCCCATGCCCGACCTGCTCTCAGAAGTTCACACGTCTCCAGTACCTGGCTCAACACAAATGCAAGAAGTAACTCTGCCCTCCTTGCCTCTTTGAGGCACTGCATCACCTTTAGGTGGCAGTTTCAAGGTTTCAAGGTTCAAGGTGTGTGTGTGTGTGTGTGTGTGTGTGTGTGTGTGTGTGTGTGTGTGTGTGTGTGTGCGTGTGTGTGTGTGGTGTGTGTTTGTGAGCATGCAAGCATGTGTATAAAACCTGGTTTAGACAACTGCCCCACGGTGCAAGCATAACGGTCATTAAAGGCTGGCGATCTTTAGAATAAGGTTCCATGTATTCGTTGGTACCAGAGGTCGCTTAAAACCCAAATTGAATGTATAACTAAAACTTCGAAGTACAAAGTACAAATCAGCCAAGGCTATCAGCGACACTTCAGATAAGGCAGGGAGCGCTTGCCTAAGCGGCTCAAGCGTCTCACTCTTTTCTCTGATCCTCTCTGGTACATGTACACTGTAGCAATACCGGCGGTATGATAATGCTAACTAGCTGTACTACACCTGGGGTGTGGAGAGCCACAGATGCAGTTTGTCAGAACCAGCAGGATCATCCATACGTATGCCTCCTCCCCGTGTATAGCATCCTCACATCTTCACACTCAAGAAGAGGCCATAGCGGATGTGCAAGATGATTTCGAGTTCTCTGAAACCAGTAGGGTTTCGGGTGCATGGAATAACTCAACAGCAGTGCGCGGACCGGGTCCAGGGCATGAAAAGTAAAATCTTTAATTATATGATCAGCGTGGAAGATGAGTAATTCGTTGCAACTCCGTGTTTCACCCACAGGGCGATCATCAGACAGCAACCTTGTCACAGTGCAAGTTGCAATGGATTATTCATCCAAGTTCTTGTTCAAAGTAGCACTGCCCTTGGGTACTGAGCACTGTTTTGGACAGCCTGGAACCTTTCTTTTTATGATCAGCATGGTGCAGTTTATGGCATACTGCACATGTTGTACATCTATGCATTCGTCCATCTTGCACTGTTCCAGCTGTGTTTGTTCACCCATGCGTTTGTGTACTTGCGCTCTATCCACACAGATCTAGTGCTGCAGCAGTCAATGCCCTTGAGCCATGTGTCCAGCATAGAATCCATTTCAGAACAATCAGGTAAGCTGTATCTGTGATGATCCCGCTTTCCTAATCCCTAGCGGCGGATCTCACGTTAATACTATGATCGACTACGACAATCAGCATGCAACTAACTTGGCTATGGTTAGGACCCTAAGGTGAAATGCATTCTCTACGGAACTAGTAACCCTGATTCTTCATGCAAGATATATGCATTTGCCTAACTCTAAAACAACCCGGACTATGTTCATATCTCCACAACAGAACAGAGAGAGAGAGAGAGAGAGAGAGAGAGAGAGAGGGGGGGGGGGGGGAGAGAGAGAGTGTGAATTACATAATCATGTATTCGGAGTGAAAAGGGAATAAAGGAGAAGTTATCGACAGCATAATGTGTAGAGTCTTACCGTTGAAACACACGTAAAGGATGACGAAGAAGAAATAGAGCAACAGCAACAGCAATCAGCAATCGGCGGACAATACGAGAGGGAGAGACAGGAGAAACGCAACTAGAATTGTTTTCACTTCTGTCTTTTCTATTCCTGTTTGCTGTATACAGTCATGCAAGATCCTATACCGTACATTCGGATAATATCAAGCGAGGAGACGCTGGTATTGGAAGCATTTTCCAAGGAGGACTATCAAAGGTATTTTTGGATACTCCTGCCACCCTTTCCTCTGGACTTCTAATAGCCAAGCATGCCTCTCAGTTGCCATAAATATCCGCCTGCGGGCTGGAGCACTAGTACATGTAGCTGTGTGCACTGTGCACACGTTGTAGCGATGATGACATCATGATGACATCATGATGATATCTTGCCGCATTACTCTCTACTGTGTCATACATGTGTGTGCATTGCCTATTGCTCCCTTCTGTATTGCAGATGGTTTAGCGGGCTGACTGCGGCCCTGTATGTCTGTGAACAAGAGCAGAGGCTAATGGACACGCAGACCAAGCAGATGGAGAACTCCTTGACCCGATCAGGAAAGTGATGCCTACAGATCCAGTGAAACTGCAAGAAGTTGCATTATCTTTCACCAGAAGTGTGGCAGAGGTCCGAAGTCGGTCAAGTGGCTCTTAATGATATTGATAGCATACAGTTGAATAATACTGCCGGACAGTTGACTTGATGAGTAATACAAGTAAACATGTGATAACTTTTAAATACACGTCTTTGGTGTGCTTACATATTTTTTAAGTCTTTGAAACCAAGATTAGAAGTTCATGTCATATTTCTCTTGTACACTAACTGTTACTGTCTGGCGGATCATTTTAGCCTCTGGTCCTGGTAATGGTCTTTGTTTAGCTGCAATAAGCTTTGAAATACAGTAGTCTCCGTTTAAAATTAACCCTTTCTCGATAAAATATTTATCAGGTATTTTCAGCAGATGAATGTGATGTGATTCGGCTTCCTTTTCTCAACTGCTTGGTGTGTGCGCACGCACATGTGAGTGTGCGTGAATGCGCGCATGTGCATACATGTGGGTGCCGGTGTGTGTGTGTGTGTGTGTGTGTGTGTGTGTGTGTGTGTGTGTGTGTGAATTTGTGTATGCATGTGTGTGTGCATATGTGTGATCATTATTAATTGTGTGTGTGTGTGTGTGTGTGTGTGTGTGTGTGTGTGTGTGTGTGTGTGTGTGTGTGTGTGTGTGTGTGTGTGTGTGTGTGTGTGTGTGTGTGTGTGTGTGTGTGTGTGTGTGTGTGTGCATATGTGTCTGTATGTATTTTCTTTCATATCGTTGAGCATCACATGCATGTACATGTACAAATATATAGATGAACAGCCAGCATGTAAAATTCATTGTGCTCAATGTGCATTTCGGAGAGTTTATTGATTGAATGGAATTCTTTAAACAGTCACTCTCCTTTCTGTGTGGACGAGTGATCACCGTGCCTGTGCTAGAATCATACAGTTGTCCGGGTCAGTTCAAGGATCCGTAAGAGTTCTGGCGAAGGCCTTCTTTTAAGTTGAAAGGAGCGGAAACCTTTCATTTTTCAGCTGCTCCTCTCCGACTCTCATTTCGTTGTCAAGTGCAAATGTTCTTGAGATCTGATAATGTCATTCAAGTAATTACTGCATATGTATGCATATGTATTTTATGAACGTAGCAGGATGCACACTACTGACAAAGTAAAACAATACAGTTGTGATCATGACTCACTGGCCCGCAGCTGTGATTAGGGTCCTGATGATTGCATAGCTGCCACGGACTGCACGACTACCGATCTGGAGGCTACTACTTACTAGTAATTACAACTGTTTTATGATAGGCGAAGTCTTGAACTCAGTTGAAGTCGGAAAGGGTCATTACAGCTTCCTGGTCATACATGCCTTACGGGTAATGGGGAAAACAGTGAACTGCTTCACTGATTTGTTGGTTGAGATATTGTAGTGTATCATTTATTTCAATGCTCGCACTTGACACCAGTATGAGGGTGTCAAAGTCTTCTCTCTCAAGCCATAGGTAATGAGAATAGAATCAATCATCCGCTTACTTTCCACTACGTAGTAAGCCGGTGTCTTTCCCTGGCAGACTGATTCTCGTTTTCTTAACTGAGTCTCTCCCCAGATCTCCTTCATTTCCTTTCCCCCTATTTTCACATTTTCTCTGTGCAAATGGTTTCCGAGGTAAAGAAAAAGGAGGAAAGGAAGATGTGCTACACACCTACTTCTGAAGTAACAGCAAGATGTAAAGAACTCTTCCTCTCCTCTCCTCCATGCGCTCTCACAGCCGGCTCACTGCTACCCTCAGTAGCCATTACACACACCAACCAAGGAAGGGTTGCAGGTAGATACTGAAATTCCTCCTGACAGCTGTTTCGCCTTCATAAGGCTCATCAGAGAAGGTGATATTGAATAGGATGATATTATCAGGTGGAGATGGTCAGATTTATACTACAAAACATGGGCGCAAGATTACGGGCAAAGTGTGAGAAAATTAATGTTAGCAGCGTGTGATTGGATTTCTCACCTGCTATTTTCTTGGAACCCCTGGCACTGTGTTGCTGGAGAGGTTAGCAGCTTGTGATTGGAGTACTCACCTGCCATTTTCTTGGAACCCCTGGCACTGTGTTGCTGGAGAATTGTAACCACTTCTCATTCTCACACTTTGCCCGTAATCTTGCGCCCATGTTTTGTAGTATAAATCTGACCATCTCCACCTGATAATATCATCCTATTCAATATCACCTTCTCTGATGAGCCTTATGAAGGCGAAACAGCTGTCAGGAGGAATTTCAGTATCTACCTGCAACCCTTCCTTGGTTGGTGTGTGTAATGGCTACTGAGGGTAGCAGTGAGTCGGCTGTGAGAGCGCATGGAGGAGAGGAGAGGAAGAGTTCTTTACATTTTATTGGCCGATTAGTACAGTTCACCATTTGAAATAGTAACAGCAAAAGTATAGCCTGAGTTTATTATACTTGTGTTCACATGCATACCATGTAGCCAGAGGTTTCATAGCAGTTTTACTTTGAGTTCATTCATTCTGTGAACAATACTGCCTTTTATTGGTATTGAAACTTCACATACACAGTGTACTAAGTACGTGGTCAGGCAAATGATGTATCGCGCGTGACTCTTTCGCATACTTGCCATGATAATCGTGCCACTGCTGGCACTAAGCCACTGTGAGTCTGTGACAGTTTCCCTCAACGATCTCATCATGAGTCCGACAGCGAGTCAGGGTGAGCGCTGCCCTTGTCACTTGTGTCTAGAGACGTCTGCGAAGAAGACAAAAGTTCCACTGGTTGTCAGTCGTGCGCTGGACCTGCAGACAGAGAGATCATAATTCAGGATTTAGTCTCACTACTTCAAAGTACATTATAGTTGTGACTCTACGTCTAGCGGTCCTGATCTGCTGACAAGATGAGGAAGGCGAACTATTCTGTCCAGGAAGTTGATGTCGGATTCATCATAGGCAATCTGATGAGTGTCTGGGTTAGCAACAGCAGAGCTGGTGCGGGGTTTCGACGAATCATGGATCCGGGGTATAAAGTTAGTTGATAAAGGTGGTCTTTTACGGCACAAAGCTAACTGTTAGTTGGGGTCTTCTTCTAGGATTTGTCTGACCAGTTCTGAATCATGCTAGCTCAGAACAGAGTGGATCCTGCCCTGACAAAAGGACGATGGCTTCTTCTTCTCCTCCTTTGTCGCCTTTCATACATTCTGTGTTCACTGACTGCGGTTGTGGTGATATCAGTCTCGAGCAGCGAAGGTCAGTCAGTCCTGTCCGGTTACTATTGTCTGTTTGGAAGTCAGCATCTCTGTGACTTGGTGCTGGCCACTGCCATCATCCTGTTCGTCTCCGGCGCCTTTCCCCTCATCGTTCAAGTTCTGTGGCCGATGCGATTCGGTCGGTTTCTGCTGAAGCTCGCTCTGTACGAAGTCGTGCTCACTGTCCTAACCCTGGTGTCCTTCATTCTACAAGTTGCCTTGAAGCGAAGTTCGGGAAGAGATGCAATCGACGCTGTACGCGATACTGGTATGGCATTCACATTTCTAACCTTCGCACTAGGTGTTGGAAATTGCGTTTTGATGTACCGGCTCGTCGGTGTGCACTTTCCTGAGCATCAAAAGAACTCGCTGATGGGATATTTTCAGAGGCGTGTGTCCAGTTCTCTGGAGACTATCTTGTTTGGCCTAAGCATGGTGTTCTCAATCATCTCTCTCACCATTGTTGGATCTTTTGGCATCGAGAGTGGCGTTGTACCAAACACAACCTGTCTGTTTGATATTGAAACCCAGCCAGACACGGTATGCAACGTCGTACGAGTGACGTGCGTGCTTGCGCTCTCCATTGTGCCATTGCTGCTGGTCGAGGTGAGGGTGCGCACGTGGCTGGGGAAGAAGCGCAAGGTGAGGGTGCCGCTTGCTGTGGATTGCTTGCGAATGATAGCCCTTCTGGCTCTGACGATAATGCAATTCACCGCTTTCTCCTTGACTGCGAGGATCTGGAGCTTGATCCTGAACTCCCGGGAAGAACCATTGCTGAATGGGGGTGAGAGGCACGGTGGTGCGGCAGTCATAGCGTTGCTGTTCTTCTCCACAGCTGCGTTTCTGGGAATTTTTGTCAAATGGTCCTGGCAGTTGAGGGCCATTGCGCTTGAGGCTGACAAGGGCATTGCACGCTCAATCGGTGTTCCTGGTGATGCGACGGCTCCGGATGAGGATAATCGCAGTAACGAGTGGCAGTGGCAGTTGTTAGTCCCAGAAGGCCGACCCTTGCGAATTATTCTGTTTGACGGTGGAATGGTGTTGTTCTCTATCATCGCTTTGGCAACGCTGACGAGTGCCAACTATGATGGAGCAGAGAGTCTGGAGAATCTGAACAGTTCGTGTGTCTACGCGGAGAACGAGAGCGAGTGCAATTTCGTCATAGCAACCGCAGCACTGTCTCTTGTCTACCATGTCCTCGTGATCCTGACCAACTGTGGGTGGTGTTGTAGACTGTGCACAGAACGTCAGTGTCCAACAATCCTCAGCATTGGTGTGGAGTATGCCATGCCTGGTGTGGTGTTTATCATGTGGTTATCATCAGCTAGCCTTCAAGCGCATAACAAGACACACAGCGACAGGGTTTACTACAACGAAGCCGATCTAAATGCGGCCATAGTTTTCTCCTTCTTTGCCACTGCTCTCGTCCTAAGCAAGATTGTTGTATCTATGGTGCTACATAGGTCAGACCCGAAAGTCCAGTTCGAAGCAAGGGTAGGAAACTGGAGGCTGATTTGCCTCATTCTCCTTGTCATCTCCTCCCTGCTATCTCTGATCCTGTCGGCACAGCATGCGTATTGGCCCGACACTGCTGGCGAGCTAAGTGGTCAGTGCATATTCGGATCCAGCGCCCCGGCATGCACTACTCTCGTAGCGTCTTACAGCATATCCCTTGCCGTGACCTGTGGCCTGCTTATCGTTTCTGTGCTGAAAATCCGGCATCCCGTCCATCCACTCGCTGCAACGATTCTCAGTGTGCCATGTATGCTTTTGGCCTGGTTGCTGGTGTTTCTTGTCAACATCGAATGGCACTGGTCCATTAGCAACCTCAATGTAGCCCCTTCAAGTGCAATGCAATACAATTCTGGCTACACACTGGCTGCGAATAGCGTCTTCTCAGCACTTCTCTGGTCCCTGCTAGTATTCTTGTGGATTAGATTCGCCTTGGATAGCTTCAATTTCAGTACCCTGTTCCGGGTTCGACCAATCAAAGTGACAGCTGGAGATGTTCCCGCTGACTCTGGAAGTGATGATGACGCTGATGGCCTCACCAACCACGGCGATGAGAGAGCTGCGCTTTGCGGCGTCAGTCAACCAGAAGATGGCGTTGTCACTCCAGCAGGAGGGCAGTTTCTCAGGCGCGGTGTGTGGCCGCAGGCAATGACACACCAGTGTCCAATCATGAAAGATTGCTGGAAGTTTGT